CAGACCACCTGATGGTAAGTGGTTGCTGAGGCCCATAGACATCTACATCTATCCTCGATTAAGAAACAAAATTCTGATGCTCTATCACCCCTGAGGACTACGTTAAAGTGTCTCAAGTTATTAACATTCACCAAATGAAACACAGCAACATTAAGCTGCTATTTGACGTTGGTATTCTGTGACAGCGTGGTCCTTCCCCGTTCGAGCCGCTACTGTGGTTTTATCACTACTGTTCGTTCCATTAACCAATTAGTTGTACGTACTTTGACAGTCATCCCGTATAGATCCACGACCCCCCAGACCTGCTGATCTACTTTGTCGGTGGCGACGCCCTGGTCTATTCCATTAATGAAATAGTGCAGTGTCCCGTTGCTTTTTCTCATCATGCCCACGGTGTCACCTTCCTGTAACAGATAAAGTATTTTTTTTATAGAATAAGAGTGACAAACGAGCAAATAGTCCACCAGATGGTAAGTGATTCCTGTGGCCCATAGATATCCACATCTATCCTCAGTTAAGAATCAAAACGAAGATGCGTCATCACCCGTGAGGAGTAAGAAGGAATGCCTCATGTTTCCAGTAAAGAGGTTTCCGGCTCTCTTTACTTACGATACGAAACAGCTGCATTAAACTGCTATTTTGCGCTGGTATTCTGTGAGAGCGTGGTCGATCTGCGGTCAAGTCGACCCATACGTGCTACAACCATAACATATATGCAGCGTGGCTCTACCACGTACATACACCACGTATATAAGTAAAGTTACCAAAAAATCATCACTGAACTTAGGTTCCATATAGTTTGGGTATATGTCACTCCATAGAATACATACACAATAGAACGAGGGAGTGGGCGGTGCCTGTAAAGGCACTAACGTGTCAACTCACACCTATAGATGCCAACGCAACTCTTTTGGCGTCACAGTTGCTGCCCAAAGTTTGTGTCAAGCATTGCTGGGTGCAATTTATTTCAAATATACCGAATTGTGCGATAATTACGTGTAAGAAAAACAGCCGGATGTGGAATTTGAGATTTAAAATTGAAATTTGAAATTTAAAAGTCCGTTGGACAGCTCGAATGCGTGGCAGACTGGCAGACTTCACGTCCTTGAAATAATTGATTCCTCCGACATGCAGGTTTCCTCACGATGTTTTCCTTCACCACTAGAGTACGTGGTAAATAACCATTTAAAATTGCAATTAACAAATTGAAATAATACTTGTTTTTACGGAATTTATCGCGTATATTTAACTTTTTAAATACCCGACGTTTCGAACGCTTTACAGCACTCATGGTAACAGGCGGGACTGAGATGTTCAACGTCCAGATGTCATAGTTAACCGCGGTTACCATAGATTAAAATTTTAACTTTTGTTCCGATCTACACAGTATGAACTTATGGTATCTTGAAGTCTTGTAGTTGTATGCTTGGGTTGGGATTTAATTTTATTTATTATAGGATCCCAAGCAGATGATAGCACCCAGCCATCTTCTCTATTGAAATTAGGATGTTTTTTTTGATTTCAATAGCCTCGCGAATCATCCTTGGAAGGAATCGGTGTTCTTTAGCGAGGATTTGTGGTCTATCAAATCTGATGTAGAGACGGGGGCGATCCTGTACGTGTTCACAGACTGCAGACTTCCTGGAGCGTCGATTCTTCACATCAGCTATATGTTCTTTAACGCGGGTTTTAATTGATCTTTTAGTTTGTCCTATGTAGGAGAGACCACATTCACAATCAAGCTTGTACATTCCTGCATCTTGCAGAGGGACATAACACTTGACTGATGGTAAAAACTGACCAATCTTCTTCAGCGGCTTGAAGTATGTTTTGATGGATGCGCGCTTCAAGATGTAGCCAATCTTGTCAGTGACTCCTCTAACATATGGCTGTACAGGAGGTACACGCTCGACTGTGGCCGACTTCACTCGTTCACTGTGACGTAGGCGCGGGACTCGAAGCTTGTTGTCATGCAAAACTTGCTTGACATGGTGGAGCTCGGCAGCCAGATGTTTACTGTCACAGAGCCCTCGTGCTCTCTGAAACAAAGATTTAACCACGGTAGCTAACTGTGAAGGATGGTGGTGAGAATCACCGTTTAAATATCTATCTGTATGGGTCTTTTTTCTATACACAGTATGGCTCAAGGTGTTATCAGGATTCCGAAATTGTAGAACTCCTCCTTCCACAATAGGTAGCCAGATGTAAGGCAGTGTCTGATAAAAACTGACCATAGTTTCATTGTCTGCCAGATGTACAAGCAAGTAGATGGTGTGACGATGGGCTCACCTGTATCTCCCATTGTCGCCGACATATTCATGGAAGACTTTGAGGAGAAAGCCCTGCTTACTTCTCCCATAAATCCAAGATTCTACAAGCGGTACGTAGACGACACTTTCACAATTCTACCTTTAGATAAAGTAACTGCATTTTTAGACCATCTTAACTCTATAAATTCTAAAATTCAGTTCACAATGGAGTTAGAGGCAAACAATTCCTTAGCTTTTCTAGATGTGTTAGTAATTCGGAATCCTGATAACACCTTGAGCTATACTGTGTATAGAAAAAAGACACATACAGATAGATATTTAAACGGTGATTCTCACCACTATCCTTCACAGTTAGCTACCGTGGTTAAATCTTTGTTTCAGAGAGCACGAGGGCTCTGTGACAGTAAACATCTGGCTGCCGAGCCCCACCATGTCAGCAAGTATTGCTAGACAACAAGCTTCGGATCCCGCGCCTACGTCACAGTGAACGAGTGAAGCCGGCCACAGTCGAGCGTGTACCTGCTGTACTGCCATAATATGTTAGAGGAGTCACTGACAAGATTGGTTACATCTTGAAGCGCGCTTCCATCAAAACATACTTCAAGCCGCTGAAGAAGATTGGTCAGTTTTTACCATCAGTCAAGTGTAATGTCCCTCTGCAAGATGCAGGAGTATACAAGCTTGATTGTAAATGTGGTCTCCCCTACATAGGACAAACTAAAAGATAAATTAAAACCCGCGTTAAAAAACATATAGCTGATGTGAAGAATCGAAGCTCCGGGAAGTCTGCAGTCTGTGAACACGTACAGGATCGCCCCCGTCTCTACATCAGATTTGATAGACCACAAATCCTCGGTAAAGAACACCGATTCCTTCCAAGGATGATTCTCGAGGCTATTGAAATCAAAAAACATCCTAATTTCAATAGAGAAGATGGCTGGGTGCTACCATCTGCTTGAGATCCTATAATAAATAAACTTAAATCCCAACCCAAGCATACAACTGCAAGACTTCAAGATACCATAAGTTCATACTGTGTAGATCGGAACAAAAGTTAAAATTTTAATCTATGGTAACCGCGGTTAACTATGACATCTGGACGTTGAACATCTCAGTCCCGCCTGTTACCATGAGTGCTGTAAAGCGTTCGAAACGTCGGGTATTTAAAAAGTTAAATATACGCGATAAATTCCGTAAAAACGAGTATTTTTTCAATGTGTAGTGTTCGCGTAAATATAAGAAAATCATGAAATTAACAAATTCATTAATTTCGGCGGGGATGGAACCCTGGTGTGTACCGTGTTTTCAACGTGCGCTTAACCACTGAGCTATCACGGTCTTGCTACAATATAATTAATACTGTAAACACGGTGAATATTTATTACATTCATTGGATAATTAATTACGCTATCTCAATAACTGGTAATTTATTAAAAGGAGCCGTTATAACTCTGGAGCTACGTGCTCGCTATGAGTTGCGTACTGTGAGCAACTTAATTTCAATCCCCGCCGGCACGGCGTCAAGTACTGATTTCACATATTGATGATCTATTAAGGCGCTACTAATAGCAAGCGACCTAGAAAGTTCGGTCATATATAATCCACGCGCTCTCCCCACAATATATCGCGTAAGAAATAAGCCCAAAGTTTTTGCGGTTATTTAAATGAAAAAAGAAAAGCGAACTAAGAAATTAAATAAAACGTGAATAATATAGATGTTTAGATTATTTATCCATTAGTGTAATCCTCAAATGATTAGACCGTTGGCTTTAGCAACAGATGCATGTCATCAATAATTTTAGACATTTTTTAAAAATTGATTTAAAATGTATTTATAACACATAAAAAAAAATTGAACGTGAAATGTATAGGATATCGAACATTAATAATGTGCTTTTAGATGTAGTTTATTTTTCATAACTAATGAGATAATAGTCCCTGAAAATCGCACTACCGCAAAGTTTTGGTCGGGGTATCGCCTTAAGGCGCTACACCTAGCAAATAACCTTGAGCATTCGGACCGCCTATGCTTCTACACTCCACGCGCTTTCGCTACGATATATCGCGTAAGAAATACGCCCAAATTTCAAAACATTTCCTTTATAAAATCGAATTTTAGCCTTTTGAAAAAATTAAATAGATCAAAATGTTCATGAATAAATTACCTATGCATTAGTGTCAATCGCAAAAAAAATAATGCTTACTTTATGAAGTGATGCATCTTATCAATAATTATTTCGCATTTCTGTGGTTTAGTTGTAGGAAGATTCATCAATTATTTACTTCTTTAAAAAATTGGAATTTCTTATTATGGAATCAAGATTACGTAGAGATTTAATAGATATTTTTTAATGACAAGTAAATAGCACCTAAAAACCTCACAAATAACGACTAGCGCTGCATTTTCTCCGCCTCCTGTGTCCGAGAGTGTATTACTACAAGTACAATCCGAGCCCGATATGGTGAGTGCCATGCGTCACGAGGATGAAATTGAAACCTCCAACGTTTCTACACGCAAAAAGCGCCCACGTCTTGATGGATCACCATTAGACGAATATTCTAGGCGGAAAAAAGATATTCAACAGATGTTTAAGAACTGGGCAGCTGGACAAGACTTAAAATTTTCGAAATTGATAACCGAAATTTCCGATTTGAAACAGCAAAATAGCGTTATACAAGAGACTAATTTGGAGATACGCAATTTTATGACATTCCTCAGAATATGATGACATGAGGAAGAAGATAGCAAAATTAGAAAAAGAACGTTCCGAGTACACTGAAAATTTAATGAAAATAGAAATAAAAATACACGATCTACAGGTTAAGTCCCGCACGGCATCAATAGAATTTAGAAATATCCCTATGCAAGAAAGGGAGACGACCGATGACCTGCTTTCCATAGTAAGCAGCGTATGTAATGCTCTGCATATTCCCATCAAACACCATGAAGTGCGGGATGTTTACCGTCTACCGGGTAAACCTGGATCGAATAAAACTATCGTGGCCAAATTTGTAACGGTGCGCGACAAAAATAATATTTTGTCAGCGGCTAGAAATTTCAATAAAAAGAAACCGACCGAAGAAAAACTTAACTCTGAATCCATTGGGTTATCTGGTAAGCGCATACCAATATATATCTCAGAATATTTACCACCAAGCTCCAAGCCCTATTTCGAAAAGCTAGAATGTACGCCAAAGACAATAAATACCAATATTGCTGGACGACTAATGGCCAAGTTTTTATCCGAAAATTGACTGGTGAAAGGTCTATTAGAATTGATTCTGATAATTTTTTTCTCTCTAAGCCAACTGACATGGAGAATGCAGAACCCAATCGAGAAATGTCATTCCAGAGCGATTTGGAGAAATTTAGTCAGCAGAATTAGATTACGTATATATAAATTTGGAATATGCCTTCTAAAACATGTTCTGTCACTCATTTTTGACAGTAAATTTATTGTATAGAAAATCTTGTAAGTAAATTTTAAGAACAATTTTTAAAACAATTTATGATACTGTGGATACACTTCACCACTATACTCACACTGACCTGGACATCTTCACTTTACTCACCCCAAATATCATCGTGCAAAAACTATTCAAACACATAAACTCAATTATAACCTCACTCACACTCATAAAAATCACATCAATAGCTTGCGCATTCCATAATAATATTAACCAAGTACGTTTAACAATAATAAGTGCCAATCTATTAATCTGTTCGCGGTAATTGATACAAATGAAAATATCTCAACAGAATTAGACAACATAGACGTAGCATTGGCTTATGAGTGCGACACTAAAACATGTAACTCACTGATTAAAAATAAGTCTAATTCCCTGAAAATATTCTGTCAAAATATTCGCAGCGTATACAAAAACTCAGATAGTTTACTGGTCCAACTGTCTCGTTTTGAGTTTGAATGTGACATCATTATCTTAACTGAATGCTGGCTGAGTGCCCGTAAACAAATCCCTCAATTTGAAAATTACAATATGTACTATAAGCACAAATGTCTCAATCAAAACGACGATACAGTGGTTATATATGTTAAAACAGGTATTAAATGTACAATAAAAGAACCAGAGCCATAAGGTGCTAATTTTATATCTATTAAAATTATTGACCCCGACATTTTCATTTTAGCTTCTTACAGATCTCCGTCGACTCAATGTATTGACAGTTTTTTGAATTCTATAGAAAATATAGTTCGTCCACTGGACTCAATCAAAAACATGATACTAATTGGTGATATTAATATTGACATTAAAGTTAATAACAACGATCGAAGAAGTGAAGCGTACTTATACCTAACAGCGGAGCTAGGTTTGCTTCCAGGTCACATTTATCCTACTAGGTTACACAGCTGTCTAGATCATGTCATGCTGAAAACTAGTTTGACAGCATCAGTATTTGTGATTAATAGTACTGTAACAGACCATTCTTCAATCCTACTCAGCATTTGCCCTGGCCAGCAAATACCAAAAGAATCAAAGCTTTTTACTAGAATCAACTACGATGCTTGTTTAAAATATTTAGAACAGTGGACTTTTCATTTATAAACACTTCATCTGATGCAAATGAAGCCGCATTAACTCTTGTAGAAAAGTTGGCTAGTGCAATTTCACTTCATTCCCATTCCCGTCGTGTCCCTAATAAACAAAGAACGCTGAAACCATGGCTAACTCTTGGTCTTTTACGTTGTATTCGACACAGAGACAAACTTCATCGCAAACTTAAAAAAAGTCCTAAAAATAAAATTCTTGAAATCACTTATAAGCGTTACCGAAATTATTGTAACTCTTTGTTGAGAAACCTTAAACGAAACTACGAAAAGTCACTATTAGGTAATGCGAAAACTAATAAAGATACCTGGAATGCAATTAAAACTATAATAAATTATACGAAACAAAAAACGAGTGCTGATAACCTTTTGAGTTCTAATGAAAATGCTGTTCGTGATGTAGAAAACATAAATAAATACTTCTCTAATATTGGTAAAAAACTAGCTGACGCTGCAAATATTTCAAATCAAAATAGCTCTCCATATAATTTCACAATTCCATCGGTTCCTAACTCTTTTGGCTACTTCCACAAAAGAAAAAAACAAAAGATGGGACTCTATACCTGTGCAACTTCTCAAATTATCAGTACATCTAGTAGTTCCACCTTTGACTAAACTTATTGAGCTCTATTATGCGCAAGGAATCTTTCCAAAAGTTTTTAAAAAATCGCTGATCATTCCTGTTCATAAGGATGGATCCCGAGACGAAATTTCCAATTACAGGCCCATTTCAGTACTCTCGTCTATCTCTAAAATCTTGGAAAAATCATTAAATCATAGACTTATTAAATTTTTAGAATATAATAAAGTAATATCTTCTTCACAATTTGGATTTAGGTCGGGGAAGTCCACTGAAGACGCGGTAATTCAATTGACAGAATTTGTAACATCAAAGGTTGACGCAAAGCAAAAATGTTTGGGGATTTTCCTCGACCTAGCCAAGGCGTTTGACACGGTCTCGATTCCTATCCTTGTGAACAAGTTAGAACGCGTTGGTATTCGTGGCAATGCACTCATGATTTTTAAGGACTTCCTATTTGACCGTAAACAACAGGTTAAAGTGGGTGAATATGTCAGTCCTGAGGAACCGATTGTATGTGGCGTTCCACAGGGAAGTATACTAGGACCTAGTCTCTTCCTTATTTATATAAATGATTTATGTCAGCAACCTTTAGTAAACGGCAAAATATTTACCTATGCTGATGATACAGCTTTAGTCTTCCATGGTAAGACTTGGGATGAGGCTCAACATAACGCTCAGCTAGGGTTTCACAGAGTTGGCCATTGGCTCGGCGGTAATCTCCTAACTTTAAATATTTCGAAAACTACATACATGCAGTTCTCCTTGGGAAACACTGGATCCGTAAACCTTGATCTTAAGGTCCACTCGTGTACTAACCCTTTGAATACTATCCCCTCATGTTCATTTCTTGCAATTAATAAATCCAATAGTGTCAAATATCTTGGTGTAATACTGGACGACAAACTTAACTGGCGCTCACACATAGAGCTTACAACTGAACGTACTAGAAAACTTATTCGGGTGTTTAAAAAGTTAAGATACACTGCTGATTTACCTCTCTTGCGTTCAATTTACTATGCTTTAGTTCAGTCTGTAATAGGGTACTGTATAAACGTCTGGGGAGGAGCCTGTAAGACCTTTCTAATCCGCCTGGAAAGGGCACAAAGATCCCTCTTAAAAGTCATGGCATTTAGGCCATACAGATTTCCCACTAAAGAATTGTATGAGATATGTCGAGTATTAACTGTGAGGCAACTGTACATTTTGAAGTTAATTACTAAACAGCATATGGTTACTGTAGCGGCGCTGTCGTCGCGCCACAAGCGAAATACACCGAAGCTTAAATCACGCTATCAACATTCCGAATCATAGACAGTATATATAGAACTTCTCCGAACTATCACTCGGAGTGTGAGCCACTCCCCGGGCAGAACACCTTGCCCGGCGGGAGATCTCCCCTTTTCCTCACCCCACCCTCCCACCACAACCTTCACCGCTCATCATCTCAAAACCCCACCATTTGCTCCCAGTAGATATCTCTGCAGTCTTCATATCCTGTGCAAGCCATCTAGCTTCACAAGGTTCATCGCAGCACTGGAATAATAATGCTTCCCGTTCCTTCAAGCTACTCTCTGCGCTATACAGTGTCTGGCACGGCTCTGAGCCTTACTGCTCGCCTCTGCTTCACGGCACTCTCGCAGATTACTTGCCTTCTTCTCGACTCACCGCAGACTACAAGGCAATCTCCTGGCACTTGCACATTCGTCGGCAACGAGGCTGCACTATCGACCTCCGGTCTGAGCAGGGGGAGATGTAGCGTCGCTGTCGTCGCGCCACAAGCGAAATACACCGAAGCTTAAATAACGCTATCAACATTCCGAATCATAGACAGTATATATAGAACTTCTCCGAACTATCACTCGGTGTGTGAGCCACTCCCCGGGCAGAACACCTTGCCCGGCGGGAGATCTCCCCATTTCCTCACCGGCCACAGTTACCATTTATAATGCCACTGATTATAACAAAAACCGGGTTATAAAAAATGTATGTTTACCAATAACATGTCGAACAATCTCTGCTAGACGGCAACATGCATATAAAGCTATATATTTATACAACAAAATTAATAAAATAGCAAATATATATCCCTTAACTAGTAGAAAATTGAAAATTAAAATTAAGAATTGGCTATTAGGATTAGATTATGAACAAACTGAATCGATATTAGTATAAAAAATTGTTTAAATCTTAAATTTCATCCACACACACGAACACACGCAAACCAACGCACAATCGCGCGCACTCACACACACATACACACACGCACGTACACATGCACACACGCACACACAGATTTTAAAATTGCTTTATTTACATAAAATAAGTAGCTGTCATTATATTAGGGAGATCGCTGACTCTCGTAACACAGGTTTTCTAACCTAGCTCGGGAGTCAGAGGCTTAAATAATGTTGTAACAAATTTTATGTCAATAAAGAATATTATTATATTATTATTATTATTTTGCTCAAACATGCACCTTAAACAAAGATTATATAAAAAAGGTTATTTACAATATTAAGAAATTTTATGATGATAATAACCGCTAGAAATAAGGTGATCGCTGTCAGGTTATTTCTAATTTGTTAATTATTGTGTAACTTTAATGGTTGTAAAATGTGCCTTTAATTAAAAAAAAGGTTGACCCTGCAGGCCATCTTTGGAACTTCCTGCTAATTTAAAATGCAAAGCGCTCCAAATTTTACCAAATTATGACGTTGAATATGAAATATCGGAGTAATTTAAAAACATCAATTTTTCAAAAATTTTCTTCTTCGATATCTCATGAACGGATACACCGACTTTCACGTTCAAAACGGCATTCGACGCAGTATTTTAAGTTCTAAAAATAATGTAAGAAGCACAAATTTGCTCGGTTGCGAAATCTCGAAGTTATATTAAAAAAAACATTTATTCAAATTCTTTCTCCTTCGATATCTCACGAGCGAATGAACAGATTTTTATTTTCCAAACGGCATTCGACGTTATTTTTTTGAGGTTAAGAGCTGATTAGTTTTTGAAGTCGATCGGTAAAGCTGTTTAAAAGTTATTAAAAAAACGGTTTTTCAAAATTTTTATTTCTGAGATTTCTCAAAATCTACTCGTCA